CGTATCCATTACAGGAAGCTGCAGAACCAATCCCAGCATTTTTAGGCTGTTGTGGTTTTTCTATGCATATTTTACGTTTAGTAGTTTGCCATTGCTTCATGATCGGTCAGCTCACGGTAAAACCGTCCAAACCAACGCAAGACATTCATGCCCGTAGCTGGGATTGAACCTGACAACCTGGCATTACGAAGCACGTTCGCAACACATAAGTTAAGACGCCGACTAAGTGATCATCATCATCATCATCATAAACCGCTTCTGCCGTTAAGCGCCATGGAGAAGAATAATTTGCGATCCAGTGTGCGTGGCTGCCACTGGCTATTGTCTAAGTGATACATAGTTTAAAAATTTCGTTGCGTATATGTTACAGGACGCCATAGGATGAGCCCCAGCATTTCTGGATGTTTATGGTTTTACTATTCAATTTAGTCAGGTAGATTGCCATTGTCTCCAAAGTGATGGCGGTACCTCCAAGAATGTCTCCTCTCGAATTTAACTCTTGTAACTTTTAGATGCTTACTGAATAGAGTAGCGCAGAAAGAAACAGGTGATAAGTGGGGAAAAAAAGTAGATCCCTTTTCACGCTTTAGGCGCATCGGGCATATAGAAAAAAAATGACCTTGACTCCCAGGTCGACCCAGCCTCGAATGGGTACCGGGTGCAGTCCCGGGAAGTAAATGCTGACCATAATGCCGATTGGTCTATAAAAATATAGGTATAGCCATATATGCCCTATACGCCTAAAAGCTTTTGTTACTTTTGGTAACATCTAGCTCAGCTAAAGATTAAAGAATTCCTGGCCAAACATTCCCTTGTGTTAAAGATTTGGAGAAGACTTGGTCAATATTCTTTTCTACCAAAGGTCGGAAACTCATTGCTCAACATTAAATTTTTCTAAACATTGGAGAGGACTCAGTGAACATTCCATACTGCTAAACATTGAAGAAGCCATGTAAATATTGTGTAGGTATCAACATTTCTGACTAGGATTGAGCAAGTACGCTATTGTTTTAATTAATACGATGTTTCGCTTGTGAAACGATTAAATACACTTTCTAATCCCAGGCCTGCAAGGAGAAATTATGCTTAAAGATTCAAGACAAATGACTGGTAAATATCTTCTTCTTCTTTTTTAGCATTCCAAGCCCTTGAGGTTAATTGCTACAGATATCACCTGCCTCCATTCACTCTCTGTTTGGCCTTCTCTTTCCAGTTGGTGACACCAAGTGTTTGGAGGTCTGTCTTCATATTATCTCTCCATCGTCTTCTTGGTCTGCCTCGTGGTCTATGGCCATTCACCTCCCTTGAGTAAATATCTTACGTAGCCCAAACATTTAGAAAATTATGAAAATGTCCAAAGATTGAGAACATTCATAGGCATTGAATAAGATTAGAGTCGACGACACCAACCATTTGAACCAAACATACTCTACAAAATGGCCGCCGCGATGATGTCAATATCAGAGTCCATGCAGGCATCAATGGTTCTGCAACAGCAGATGTACTCACAGCAAATAGACCAACCTTCATCCACACAGCCAACCAAGCGAGTCGGGTTCTTCGTACAGATTCTGCTGGTGTCCGCTCTCTTTGGGATCGAAACAGTGATCGCATTTGAGCAAATTTACCAGATTTTGTTGTGAGTAATCGGACAGTTTTTGTTTCGTTAAAATTACGAGTAGCTTGATTAATTTCGTTATCATTTGCAGTTTGTTTTTATATATCTCATAACTTGTGGCGTTGATAGTAATGTTTGTACCCAGCCATTTATACATCTCATAACTTGTGGCGTTGGTAGTAATGTCTGTACCCAGCCATTTATACATCTCATAACTTGTGGCGTTGGTAGTAATGTTTGTACCCAGCCATTTATACATCTCATAACTTGTGGCGTTGATAGTAATGTTTGTACCCAGCCATTTATACATCTCATAACTTGTGGCGTTGATAGTAATGTTTGTACCCAGCCATTTATACATCTCATAACTTGTGGCGTTGGTAGTAATGTTTGTACCCAGCCATTTATACATCTCATAACTTGTGGCGTTGGTAGTAATGTTTGTACCCAGCCATTTATACATCTCATAACTTGTGGCGTTGGTAGTAATGTTTGTACCCAGCCATTTATACATCTCATAACTTGTGGCGTTGATAGTAATGTTTGTACCCAGCCATTTATACATCTCATAACTTGTGGCGTTGATAGTAATGATTGTACCCAGCCATTTATACATCTCAAACTTGTGGCGTTGATAGTAATGTTTGTACTCAGCCATTTATGCATCTCATAACTTGTGGCGTTGATAGTAATGTTTGTACCCAGTCATTTATACATCTCATAACTTGTGGCGTTGATAGTAATAATTGTACCCAGCCATTTATACATCTCATAACTTGTGGCGTTGGTAGTAATGTTTGTACCCAGCCTTCTATTTATATATATCATAACTCGTGGCGTTGATAGTAATGTTTGTACCTAGCCTTCTATTTATATATCTCATAACTTGTGACGTTGATAGTAATGTTTGTACCCAATCTTTCTATTATATATCTCATAACTCGTGACGTTGGTAGTAATGTTTGTACATAGCCTTCTATTTATATATCTCATAACTCGTGACGTTGGTAGTAATGTTTGTACCTAGCCTTCTATTTATATATATCATAACTCGTGGCGTTGATAGTAATGTTTGTACAGCGCCTTTTATTTATATATCTCATAACTTGTGACGTTGGTAGTAATGTTTGTACCCAGCCTTCTGTCTCATGTACGTTCAATCATTCAGACACAGGTGATCTTACATGCCATGATGACAAACTGTCCAAGATCTCTCTCAGCCTCCGTCTGCTTCTTTTCCCCTCCACATTTCCTACCGTCACAATGTACTGCAGTGTTCTCCTGCTCACGAAGTGACCAGGCAGTCCATTAGAAGTGAGGTCGAATCCGGCCAGTGATGACCACTACTTGTTGACCCAATGGACACGTCATTGTTCTCTTCCTCAGCTCAGGATAGGGCATAACCCCGACCGGATCCAGTTGACCAGCCGCGCTGCTGACGTCACCGGGTCGGGCTAACGATGAGTTAACGCAGCGGTTCTCAAACAAGAAAAACACTTTTTTTCCCGACAGTGACGAGGGAAGACAACTTAAATTTTAACTTTTAAGTATCTACATGTCTTCTTTAACAATTTCACAATTTTTAGCCGAATATTCGGATTATCACCGCGGCACCCCTGGCTTACGCTCACGGCACCCCAGGTTGCCTCGGCACCCCGTTTGAGAACCACTGCGTTTACGCGTCGTTAGCCCGACCTGATGTCGTCAGCAGCACGGCCCGTCAGTTGGAGCCGGTCGTAGCGTAACCACCTTAGGCATCTGTGTGTATACACCACATGACAGTTCTTTGTATAGTCTGTGTGTACACACCACATGACAGTCCTTTGTACAGTCTGCATGTACACACCGCATGACAGTTCTTTGTACAGTATGCGTGTACACACCACATGACAGTCCCTTGTACAGTCTGCGTGTACACACCACATGACAGTCCCTTGTAAGTCTGCGTGTACACACCACATGACAGTCCTTTGTACAGTCTGCGTGTACAAACCACTTGACAGTTCTTTGTAAAGTCTGCGTGTACACACCACTTGACAGTTCTTTGTAAAGTCTGCGTGTACACACCACTTGACAGTTCTTTGTAAAGTCTGCGTGTACACACCACATGACAGTCCCTTGTACAGTCTGCGTGTACACACCACTTGACAGTTCTTTGTACAGTCTGCGTGTACACACCACTTGACAGTTCTTTGTAAAGTCTGCGTGTACACACCACATGACAGTTCTTTGTAAAGTCTGCGTGTACACACCACTTGACAGTCCCTTGTACAGTCTGCGTGTACACACCACTTGACAGTTCTTTGTACAGTCTGCGTGTACACACCACTTGACAGTTCTTTGTACAGCCTTTTTAGTGTCAATGTCTGCCGCCTGTAGCTGTATATTGTGTTTCATGGCTGTCATACTCAGGTTTGTCTTCTCCTCCTTCTTTTCTCTTCTCCCTGAATGCCTCGCGGCGTCAGGACAAGAAGAAATCTCTGGGACGGGCCCTTCTGTTCGCTTCGTATAAAGAACTTTTCAGTGTCTCTGATCTTTCTGCGGTCCATGTTCTGCTCTGACTCTGTTACAGCTGTATCTGTATAACATTACTCTCTATGGTGCCCTGTCTGCTGCCAATCTTGTTACATGGCCAAACCATTTGGTTTGTTGTCTACTTATAAAGTTAAGTACTGGTTCTGTGCCGACTCTCCACCCGATATCATCGTTCCTAAGTCGACCATTCCTCGTTACACCCAGCATGTGTGTATGTCATTTATGTTTAAATGTTAAGTAAACAATGATCTTGAAACATACACATACACACAAACAGGAGAGTTTCAATAGTGTTGTCGCCAATGAAACCCATTCAGATTGGACAGCGAGTTGCTTTGTAACATTTTGATGCCCTAGTATACATTTTTTACACTGATGAACAAGGTTCCTGGGATTTGTTCCTATTATGTCTGCATCCGAAAAGTAACTCACCGAGTCACAGGGTGACTATAGAAGGCAGAGATCCCGGAAAGAAAACATAACATTTTTTTTTAAACTTTTGAATCACGTAAAATAATTGATTACTCAATTAATTTACTGATTGATCTATCAAAATGATTGATTATTTGAATGTTTTACTGATTGATTCCATTCAGTAAAATCGTTGGATAATTTAAAAATTTAATGGTTGGCTCCATCTAGCAAAATGATAGATTAATCAAATAATTTACTAAATAATTCTATTTATCAAATGCCTAATTTGTTGATTTATTTATTACGTATTTTTCCAAATGAATGATAAATTGATTGATTTACTGATTGTTAAAAAAACATCCTCAGCCATCAGTTTTTGGGCGTGCCAGTGTCATTGTTGTCAATCAATGGAATTATCTGTGGCGCAGTCAGCATGACTTTTCTACCTCTGCTGGGGTATTTCTCCGACAGGGGTTCAAATCCAATGGTAAGAATGTCTTCACTTATCAGGTAGAGAGCCCTATCTTCTGCTTCTTTAAGTGCCTGCCTTGTGGCGTTGGTAGTCATAACTATCCACAACCTTCTGTCTCGTGTACTTTCAATCAACTCTGACACATATGATCTTCCATAGTCCACCCTGTGTGGCGTTGGTAGTCATGTCTATCCACAACCTTCTGTCTCGTTTACTTTTTTCAGTTAGCTCTGACACAGATGATCTTCCATAGTCCTTAACTCTGGTACTCATGATCCTTCCATATCCACTGCGTGTACTTGGCGTTGTGTCATCGGTCTATGATATCATACAGCCTCTCTCTCGTGTACTTTCAATCAGACTCTGACACAGATGATCTTCCATAGTCCATGCCGTGTGGCGTTGGTAGTCTATCTACAGCTTTCTCTCTCGTCTTTATCAACACACAGATACTTCTTCTGCCGTCGTTGTTTCATACTTTCTTCTCGTGTACTTTCAGTTAGCTCTGACACAGATAGATCTGTCCATTGGTAGTCATGTCTGTCAAACCTTCTGTCTGTCCAGTTAGCTCTGACACTGATGATCTTCCATCTGATGTCGATGTCTTTTTCTCTCGATCCTTTCTCCTCTCCCCTCCAGCTTTCTTACTGTCACGGTGTACTCCAGTAGTTCTCCTTCTCAATACATGACAAAAAATGTAGATTGTCTCTTTCTGATGTGGGTAATCAGTTTTCTTGGTGAGTCAGTTTCTTTCAAGACGTCCTCATTACTCTTTTTATATTTCAGCGTATTCTCATCATTCGTCTATAATATCACGTCTCTGCAGCTTCCACAGATTTTCTCACTGATCTATCAACTGTCCATGATTTACTTCCTTATATAAAGATAGGATTTTAAGAATCCTCTTTCTCGTCTCAATTGACAAAGAAAGATTACATAAAATATTCTTTATTTTGTAAAATGCTGTCTTTGCTTGAGCTGTTCTACATTTAACTTCTTTAATACATCTTCCATCTGATGTTATCTGGGTACCCAAATACTCAAACATATCAACTTGCTTGAGGTTTGTCGCTTTTACTTTGATGTTGGATTTCGGAGGGTCAGTTTTCTGTGTAATTACCATTACTTCTGTTTTTTTTTTAAATGAGCCCTTTCACTTACACATCATGGAAGCAGAGCCAGAGGTCGACCTCGCAAGTGATGGATCGACGGAGTATCTGAGGCCGTAAATACCAGCATCTACTCAGTACAAACCAAAGCTTGCCCTCAATGCTTCTTGAAAAACCTGACCCTGAAAGACGCAACAGAACCTGAGAGGAAGAAACAAAATCAAGTAATTTAGCTATATTCGTCAAACTCCACTTCTGCCGCAGAGCGAATGGGAAGTAACCGTTTATGGTTGCAAACACAAAGGGTGGCAATGATCATGGTCATCCTGTGTGAATATATAATGTCTTTTAACTGTTTCAGTTTCAGAAAAGTTTCAAGAATTCACACACACGTAACAATAACCATGATGAAATCAAATTAGTATATTAGTGTTCAAAATGGCAATGCATCATGTGCTGTATATCAAAAGGTCTGGCCAGGTTTCCTTAGTGTGCTCAGGGCAAATGTTAAAGATATAAGTAGGCACCATCTGGTGTGTCATACCAAAAACAAAAGCGGAACGTTCCTTGGCACAGAAAGCGTTAATGTCATCAAATATACGAACGTTTAAGCCACTCGGATAACAAGGATGATGCTAATGATGATGAAGATGATGATGTGATAGTGACAATAAAGATGATGATAATGATTATGACAATAAGGATGATGATGATGACAATGATGATGATAATAATGATGATGATAATGATGACGATAATAATGATGAAGACAATAATGATGCTGATAATGCTGATGATAATGCTGATGACAATAATATTGATGGTGGTCATAATAATGTTGGTAATAATTACGACAATAATTATAAGAAAGACAATAATGATGATGGTCATAATGACGACAATAATAATAATGACAACAATGATGATGGTCATAATGATAACAATAATAATGATGATGGTCACAATGATGACAACAATAATGATGATGGTAATAACCATAGCAATAATAATGGTGATGAAAATAATGATGATGGTAATAATTGCGACAATAATATTAATGTTGGTCATAATGACGACAATAATAATGATGCTGATAATTACGACAATAATAATGATGATGGTCGTAATGACGACAACAAATATGATGACAAAAATAATGATGATGGTAATAATGATAACAATACTAATGATGGTGGTAATAATGATGACAATACTAATGATGGTGGTAATGATGATGACAATAATAATGAGGACAATAATGATGATGATGGTGATGACAGAAATGATGATGATAGTAATGACGTCAAGTATGACGATGAGGATGATGACAGCTAATGAATGCTCGGCAGTTTAAATTAACTTGTCTTACAATTCTATCATTTCCAGAAAAGGAAGCTGTGCTCCCTATTTGTAGGAATGAGCATGTTCCTGTGTGGACTTCTATTTCTGATTATCGCTGGATTTCTGAAGCTGGAGTCACTGGACGCAATCTACTGGAGCACACACACAAACATCTCTTCTAATGATACGCCCATTATTACGCAATCAGCTGTAGAAGCTTCTAGACTTTCCAGCATTTCACTGAACGACACATTCCCATCCCAGACACTGGTACCAAAGTCTTCAACACAGCTATCAGAATCTGTTAAAGCAAGCCGATTTCCGACTCTCAAGTGTCAGTAACTGCAGTTTTGTCGATTCTAGCGTTTTCTTTCATTGACATCGGGTTTGATATGAGTATTTCATTAGTCAGAGCCTTTATCTTAGAAAGCACGCCGGTCTTTCAGCACACTCGTCCTGCTAGTTATGTCAACAGTGTCTGCTTCAATGGCGGGAACAACATTCTCCTTCCTTGGCTGCTTTGACTTTCCCGGTGCGCTGGGCCCTCTCTTCCACGTCGAAGGAGTAGCCGCTACTCTCATATTCTTCTGCAGTCTTCTCTTCTGTCTGATTCTTATAGGTTATAGTTGTACAATCATCTCAGGCTACTTCATAAATAAAGGGATGCGGCAGCTGGATAAAGGAAAAAATACAAATAGACCGCAGGTTCCAAACGCCGCTGTCGGTTCTGTGGATCAGGGAACGCCGAGTTCATCAAGAAGAAGGCTTCTTAAAGGGGCAGACCCAAACACAGCGGATCAGATTCATACAGTTCGCCCGTATCTGCCTGATATCCTACACACAGAAGAAGGTGATACATCGACTAGGCCGCTACTTCTGGAAGACAGTTTAAAGGCCAACAATTATTCCGCCTTGTCCATTAGCACGGCTTCCGTGCTGCATGCGTATGGCTCTCACGAAGTACATGTCCCTAAAAAGCAATTTTGTGTGTACAAAAGTGCATCAACTGACAACGCTACTCACACTGGAGACACTAGTGACACGGAAGCTGAACTTTTACAGCAGACAGAAGAGGAACAAACTGAACTGAGAGAGGAAGCTGATTTAGAACACAAGAAACACCCATTTAGCACTTTTTCCCTCCTTGAGGCTATCAAGCAATCCTATTCTATGTCTCTCTCCATAGCCCAGTCTCCGCTTGGGGAATTTCACACCAGAAAACTGGAAAACATGCACAAGAAACGACTGGATGACACGAAACAAAACAACAAATTAATCATGAACAAGCGGTTAATTATCTTGTGCTGCTCTTGCTTCTTCACGTTTGGAAGCATGATAACTTTCATCATCTACATCTCAAACGCTCTCAACATTGGCATATTCAAGGGAGACCCTACGGCGCTACCGGGAACCGAAGCTTATGATTACTACCAGGCAGGCCTTCGAACCGCAGCTCTGGGTAACCTGGTTCTCTATGCAACTTATATGACCATCAGCATCAACAACACCAAGACTGATCAAGTTGATAGGTATGTATGTATGTACTGTTTGTTTTTGTAAATCTTCAAACTCTCTTATTTTTAAGCTGGTAAGGCAGGAAAGATGCCGTGGTGGAGCGGCTAGACGCTCGCCGTAATTGGAGGGTCGTGGGTTCGCTTCCTGGCGGAGTCGGACTTTTTTCAAAAATGACTTTGGCTCCCAGGTCGACCCAGCCTTGAGTGGGTACCGGTTGCAGTCCAGTGAAGTAAAGGCGGCCCGCGTGATGCTGACCACATCACACATTTTGTGCAGATGGGTCTATAAAATATAGGTCTAGCCCTACATGCCCTGTACGCCTAAAGGCGTGGAAAAGGGTCCTTTACTTTTACTTTATTGGTAAGGCAGCTTCTAAGATCAGGACTACAGCTTATAGATAGTATGTAAAGTACGAGTGCCATTCAGAAATTATGAGACCTATTTCGTCCTGAAATTTTTTTTGAATCATGTAGATTTACTTTCCATAATGGTAATTTCCGGTGGTTCTTTTACGAACTGTTGATAGCAGTTTTCTTTTTTTTTTTCATTCCGGACAACAGTGTTATAAGGGGATGGTGTTCTCGAGGCATGGTGTCCGCCTCCAGTGCAAGGGGTTCCGGGTTTAATCCCCGGTAAGAAATGGGATTTTTTTCACGTGGACTTGGACTTCTAGTAATTCCCCCTGGTCTCTGGGCAATGAGATCGGACGCCCGTGTGCATTGTTGCCCATGTGAAAAAAAAAAAAAAAAAATCCCTTGGCAGTTGGAACAAAAAAGAGTAGCTTAACGGCGTTGCCCGGGCAAAATTTGGAGTTCAATATCTACCCATAGTATTTCAGGATTCTCGCCGGTGCCACAGAACCTATGCACTGTGCTGAGCTTCTTTGGACTCAGACGTGAGTGAGAAGAAGAACGGAGCACTTATGGGTTACCACCCGTGTGCCATGATGTTGATCCATTGTTCAAACCTCAAACTTCAAACTGAAAAGTGTTATATTGTGGGCTCGGAAACTCCTAGAGTTGAGTTGAGTTGAGTCAAGAATTGATGTCACAGCACTCGGGGCATTCCCATGCGTGCTCCGTCCTCATCTTCAACAACCAGCGCAGAGTTCCGATACTGATGTTACCGGTCACAATCTGGTTTTATACCCGTCTTGCCTTTTCTGTGAGTGTAGTGAGCCGGCCAGACCCTCTGGCAACACCCATGTGTCTCATTCTCTCCAGGCCATAATAATCTTCTTTCTCTACCGATTTTGTTGCTTGTTCCCAAAGGGCCTTGACCACTTCTGCCTTGTCATGTATCAGTTCACTACCCAATGGTGCGGATCCAGCTATCTGATACTCCTTGGAGATAGCGAGTTATGTCTAGCAAGACCCTGTCGCGTTAGGGAAAGTCTTCCACATTTAAGGCATGGGATTTAAAGACCGTTGTTGCCATCGTTTGTATTTAACGCGCATCTTCTGAGACATTCAGCTCTCAACCTTTCTGTAATCATTCTTTTATTTAACCATATTCCCTTCTTGCTTTTTCCCATCCACGCAACATTGTCGATAGCACTAGGAATTAATACGTGTATAATCCATGTCCCACTTGCATGTATCCTTATATCGAAATAGAGAACTACCATACCATCTTCTAAACATCTGTAAAAGGGGTTCTAGCTGATCCACATGGTTTGCTTTATTGCATCTAATGTTAATTTCTTCACCCAATTTGTCATCTTCTATTAATGTTATCTTCTTCTCTTCCCTATTTCTGGAATGCATCGCAGCGCCAGGGCAGAAAGAGATCTCTGGTACGGGCCCTTCTGTTCGCTTTGTATGAAATACTTTTCAGTGTCTCTGATATTTCTGCTGTCCATATTCTGCGTGGTCGACCTCTGGCTCTGTTACTGCTGTATCTGTAAAACACTGCTCTGTGTGGGGCCCTGTCTGATGCCAATCTTGTTACATGGCTAAACCTTTTCATTTATTGTCTACCTATAAAGTTCAGTATTGGTTCTGTGCCTCCTCTCCTCCAGATATCATTGTTCCTAATTTGACTTTTCTTGTTACACTTAGCATAGTATGTAAACATTTAATTTATGTCGTGACGATTTTCCTTCTGTTTTCTCAAGACAATGTCCATGTTTGACATTGATAGCAGAGGGTTGGTTAGAATATTGTGTTGAACAGTGTTTTTCTAGTGTTTGTTTTCACATGCTTAGGATTCGAAATTGGGGCAAATTAGCCTATAACTTAATTTGCTTTATTGCACAGTTGTTGGATTTCTTTATTAATTCTTCCCTCTTCTTTAAAAATAAAAAGGTAGGGTATGAAAGACCTTTGCCTGCTTTGACTGGTGTTCATCAATTTTGGTATTGGTGGTTCCTTCTTTTCTGGAGAATGTCATCATTTCTGTTTTGTCTACGTTGATCTTCCTGTCGTAGATGCCGCAGGATGAATAATGTCTGTTAACACGTTTCTTGTCGTTGTACTGCTGTTAGTGCTAGGATTGCCAGGTCATCAGCAAAAAGGAGTTCATTTAGTAAGTCTCCAATGAGCTCCCCTTGCTGATGTTAGCTGATTTGCAAATGTGGTCGATGTTGTACCCATATATTTAAAATAAAGCCAGCATTTTACAAAATGAAGAATATTTTATGCACTCTTTGTGTGTCAGATGAGACTAGAAAGCGAATTCTTAGACTTTAAGAAGAAAAAAAAACCTGTATAATATCTTGTTTGTCATTGACAGGAGAAAAGGTACCTGTTTAATATCTTGTTTGTCATTGACAGAAGAAAAGACACCTGTTTAAAATCTTGTTTGTCATTGACAGATTTGATTTGATTTGATTTGATTCAAGAACCGACATCACAGCCGTCTGGGCATTCCCATAAGCGCTCCATCCCCATCTTCAGCAGCCAGCGAAGAGTTCCGATATTAATGGTGCCAGTAGAATTCTGATTAAACGTCCGTATTGTTTTTCTTCTGAGCCTCGAGCATCTGCCAGAACCTCTCGTCACTTCCCCGGGAATCAATCTCCCCAGACTGTGGTGATCCATCTGCTCCTCCGAACTGTACACGCTCTCCCACAAAGCACTAACCACGCCTGCCCTATCATGCAACAGTATTCTACCAAGTTGTGCAGAGCTAGCCAGTCTGTCCGCCTGTTCATTTCCCAACACACCGGCGTAACACGGTGAAAAAATCCAAAAAATACTCCTCACTCGTGTCCTCCGCAGCGAAGCATGCCACTCTGCACGAAGCATACCTGTTCTGAACTTCATCAGCATGCTTTCTGAATTTGTCATTGACAGGAGAAAAGGTATCTGTTTAATATCTTGTTTGTCATTGACAGGAGAAAAGGTATCTGTTTAATATCTTGTTTGTCATTGACAGGAGAAAAGGTATCTGTTTAATATCTTGTTTGTCATTGACAGGAGAAAAGGTATCTGTTTAATATCTTGTTTGTCATAACAAGAGAAAAGGTATCTGTTTAATATCTTGTTTGTCATTGACAGGAGAAAAGGTATCTGTTTAATATCTTGTTTGTTATTGACAGGAGAAAAGGTATCTGTTTAATATCTTGTTTGTCATTAACAGGAGAAAAGGTATCTGTTTAATATCTTGTTTGCCACTGGTAGGAGAAAAGGTATCTGTTTAATATCTTGTTTGTCATTGACAGGAGAAAAGGTATCTGTTTAATATCTTGTTTGTCATTAACAGGAGAAAAGGTATCTGTTTAATATTTTGGTTGACATTGACAGGAGAAAAGGTACCTGTTTAACATCTTGTTTGACATTGACAGGAGAAAAGGCATCTGTTTAATATCTTGTTTGACATTGACAGGAGAAAAGGTACCTGTTTAATATCTTGTTTGACATTGACAGGAGAAAAGGTACAGTTTGTGGCGTGTCATGTGTTAGTCATCGCCTCCCTGTTGACCCTGATCGTAACCCAGAGGGTGGAGATCTACTTCGTGTTCATGGTTTCATGTGGCGCCCTGAGAACTTGCGTGTTCACACTTCCGTTTATCTTGGCGAACAAATTTACACAAGTGGAGGTAAGTTAAATTATCATCATCATCATACGCTGTGTGCTGTTTAACGCCACACAGAGCTCGTATTCAATTCCTCCACTCTGCTTTATTGCATGCTACATTCTCGGTTTCTGAGAGGAAATTTTTTTTTTCTTCTTCTTTTTCTTCTTCTTCTTCTTCTTCTTCTTTTGTTATCTCACTGAGCCCAGTGTCGTAGTTTTCCGTATTTGTTTTATGCTAGTCGAGAGAGAGAGAGAGAGAGAGAGAGAGAGAGAGAGAGAGAGAGAGAGAGAGAGAGAGAGAGAGAGAGAGAGAGAAAGAAAACATCATTACTAGCTTGATGTGGGGAGTGATTTCGGTCGTGTGTGTGTGTGTGTTTGTTCGTAAAAAGCGACTGTTGTAAGTCGCATCGGTTGTAAGTCGCATCGGTTGTAAGTCGCATCGGTTGTAAGTCGAGTAGATGGTGTACAATAAGAACCTACCACCCAAAAGACAAATAGCAAGTCTCTTTCCTTTCCCAGGCGTCCCTGACAACAGCGATGCAGACGTGCCGAAGAAAAACTTGGGGAAAGTGATGTCGCTGATTGGGTTCCTGATTCCCGCCCACTACATCCTCGTATCAATCATCATGGGTCCTCTAATGGACGCCACCGGGAACGTGTGGGTCCCGCTGATCTACAGTTGGTGCTCTTGTACCATCTCTCTGCTCATTTTTATCCCACTCTTCTTTGTCAAAAATTAGATAAACGATCCTCGTTTGTGGTGATTTACTTATTTCGCTTTTGTGTTTTGTAATTGTCACTATGTCGGCGTCTGTGGCTTAGGCGTTGTGACCCCGCTTTGTAATGACATGGTGCCGGGTTCGATCCCAGCTGCGGACGATTTGTCTTACGTTGGTTTCGACAGTGGTGCCTAGAAAAACCACAACAGCCAAAAAAATGCTGGTGTTGGTAAAGAACATGCAACTAACCTAATGTCACTATGGGAAATGAACAGGCGGACAGACTGGCTGGCTCTGAACAAGCTGGTAGAATATTGATGCAGGAAAAGCCAGACGCAGTAGGGCCTTGTGGAAGAACGAGAACAGCTCGGAGGAGCAAATGAATCACCACCGTGTGGTGAGAGTGATGCAGCGAATAGTGACTCTGGGACCTGGCCGATACTCGACGCTCAGCGAAAAGGCAAGACGTATAACCAGACATCTACCACCATTGGATTGGAACTCTGCGCTGGCTGCTGAAGATGGGAAAGGAGCGCTTTTAGGAATGACCCGAGTGCTGTGATATCGGTTCTTGAATCAACTCAACTAAAATCTAATTGTCAATAAGA